CAGGGCGACGGAGCAACCACGAGAAACGACCCCCCCCCCCCACCGCCGCCGCCGCGGGGAGAAATAGAAACTAAATTCATCGTACGGCTACAACTCCCCCCCTCCCCCCCCAACGGCAGCGTGTCATCGACGCGTAACCTTAACTCACTGGACGCCTCTTCATGGTTCTTTCGGTAAAGTCACGTAGAATGGAAATAATAAAATAATTCTCACGACGTTTCGGCCACAACGCAAGCAGCCGTCCTCAGGTGAAGAACAGGTCTGTCGGAAAGACAGCGTCTGAATGGGCACCACCAAGCTTGGCAGCGTATATTTAAGCTGGGTTGGAGGGGGGAAGGGCGCCTTGACAAAGGGCGCTATCTTTCCGACAGACCTGCTATCCACCTGAGGACGACTGCTTGCGTTGTGGCCGAAACGTCGTGAGAATTATTGCATTATGTTTTATTTTTATTATTTGCATTATTTCCCTTCTACGTGACTTTACCGAAAGAACCAAGAAGATGAATCCCTGCAGCCACGAAAGCTTTAAATCGAAATTTAATAATCTAACATTATTTTATTATATAATAATATTTTATTATTATTTTATTTTATTATATTAAAATATTAAATTATTTCATTATATTATTTTATTATGTTTTATATTTTTATTATTTCCCATCTACGTGACTTTACCGAAAGAACCAAGAAGATGAATCCCTGCAGTCACGAAAGCTTTAAATCAAAATTTCACTGGACGCCGTGAACTATTCCACCGCAGCATGGACACTTTGTGCGTCCCGCTGTTGTCAACGCACCGCGAGATGCTTTACGACACCCCCCGGGGAACATTTGACCATACTTCACCACACCGGGCTTGACTGAATGGGGAGGGGGGAGCATCGAAAAGCAAACACGAACGCGTGTACGCGTTGAACTTCTTTCACACCGCACCCAATCGGAGGTGCGGGCGATAGTCAGATTCATTAGGGGAGTGTGCTTAAGGGAAAAGCTCGCCCACCCAAAATAAACGTCGCCGAAAATTCACACGCGGGCGGAATGAAGCATCACAGGAGTAGCAGCGTACAAAACGACACACACGCACGCGCGAAAGTAGGTTGTCAACCAAAGAAAGAAAAATCACAATCATCTCATTCATGAAAACCGCGAATGCACCGACTCACCGTCCGCCAGACGAGTGTGAGCCCGGAGGGTACGGGCGCTGGGGCTCCCAGTAGCGCGCTGCGTAAAATCCGTCTCGAGCGGTCGGCACGGCTCCTCCGGCGCTGTGGGTACAGAGCGCGCACACGAACGCACGAACGCGCTCGCCTTGCGAGAATGCTGGTGAGTGGAGGGGGACCAGCGAAGGAGGGGGGAGGGGATGGGGAGGGATGGGGAGGGAGGGAGGGAGGCAGGGAGGGAGGGAGGGGACACCAGCTGACTGCTGCTTGAAAATAACGAACGACCCAAAAGACGTGGCATGGAGCGGCGCCAGAATTCCGGACTGGATCTGAGCTGAGCGAGTGATCCAGGCAACCCGACAAATGCCGATACAACGGAAGTGACCCCTCTCTCTCTCTCTCTTCCTCTCTGCGTTTTAATTCTTGTGCCCATAATACGCCTCCCGTGACAGCAACTATGTCCCTCCACGTAAGAAACAATCAAACAAGAAATGAACGTGAAAGTTCACTCCCTCCGACTATAACGGCTCGCCACGATCATGTGCGAAATACGTTCAACGTACGTGACGCGGACAATGCTTCGCCCACCGCTTTCTCAATTTGTTCACGTCAATAGCAGTCAACGTCACCCCGCTATCCGACACACACACACACATCTACGCCTCTATATAAGGAACAAATCTGGCTGTCCGCCTGATGAAGCCGGTTGTAATTACTGGCGAAACATCGTAGCTCAGATCGTAAATGTTGTGGCTTGGCTCTCCAACACACAGCCGGTGTGCTGTACTAGTGACGAATTGGCACGTTCTGTTTTACGTGACAAGCCTTACTAGTTGGCTGTGTCGGGTGGTGGCGGGTTTAACGACGCCGTAGCAGGCACACATTGTGCAGCGTAGCAGGAACACAATGTGCCTGCTACGGTGCAGAATTCGCCGCCGTATACATCACGGGCACCCCGAGACAACGCCCTGAACCGCGCAGGGAGATTTTGATCATTTCAGAGATCAAGAGCCGTCTTCAATGACTGCCCTGGGTTCACAAACCCTCTCGTGCCGCTTCCCCCCCCCCCCCGCCGCCCCCACAGTGTTTATCATCATCATTATTTCGATTTAAAGTTTTCGTGACTGCAGAGATTCATCTTCTTGGTTCTTTCGGTAAAGTCACGTAGACTCTGTCTTCCCGACAGACCTGGTCTTCACCTGAGGACGGCTGCTTGCGTTGTGGCCGAAACGTCGTGAGAATTATTTTATTATGTTTATTTTTATAATTTAATAATTTCCCTTCTACGTGACTTTACCGAAAGAACCAAGAAGATCACCGAGTCTCAAGACCCATTTTCAGGAGGGTCCTGCCAAGTTATCTCAGTCAGAGACGGGTGATGTTGCTGCTGCCGTGTGATCCCCGCTGAGTGATGTTGCAGGTACGGGAACGCGCTCACCGTTGGGTGTGTTCGGTCAACGATAACCACTTTCGCGGTGCGTTAATTTTTACTGATGTCATTTTGTTTGGATCCCTCCAACACAAAACTTTATTTTGTACAAAGCACCACGTGCACTGGCCCAACCGGGGTTTCTCCTCCATGGTAGAGAACCATCGACTCACACAGAGACCCATAGACTCACACAGAGACCCATAGACTCACACGAGGACCCATAGACTCACACAGAGACCCATAGACTCACACAAAGACCCATAGACTCACACAGAGACCCATAGATTCGCACAAAGATCCATAGACTCACACAGAGACCCATAGACTCACACGAGGACCCATAGACGCACACAGAGACCCATAGACTCACACAGAGACCCATAAACTCACACAGAGATCCATAAACTCACACAAAGACCCATAGACTCACACAAAGACCCATAGACTCACACAGATACCCATAGACTCACACAGAGACCCATCGACTCACACATAGACCCATAGACTCACACAGAGACCCATCGACTCACACAGAGATCCATAGACTCACACAGAGACCTATAGACTCACACAGAGATCCATAGACTCACACAGAAAACCTCTATTATGAAATAAGTTCAACATACACACACATATTAGGGTTGGCTACGTACGGTGCGAAAGAAGTTCAACACACAGACATTCTATGACTGCAACCGTAATAGCGCCGTAACAATTGCCAGACGGTCACCGAGGGAGTTTGATGGCGGGCAATGTGCGTGTGTCTGCCAAACGCCCACCCCTCCTGTGATACTGCATCTTCTGCCGGCGACGGCGTGAGCCATGCACATTGCAGGGCTGCGCCCTCCGGAACCTTCGTACGAGACTTGCCACGTGTCCGTGAGCTCCGCCAGCTCCCTCGCAGCGCGCCGTGGCCGTGCGAGCATCGCCTCCCAAACGAGTCTGCTGTGACTTGAATGCGGTGCGCTTTGTTCCGCGTCCGACGGAGTAATTCGCCGAGCGAGCACCGCGTTCTCGATGGCCCAATTCAGACACTTATCTCTGCGAAAAACAACAAGCGAAAAACAACGGTCGGTCGTTGTCATTTTAATTCTCCATTTACGCTTTGTTTGGTCGAACACCGCTTTCACGACCAATGTTTTCCAAAGGAGGTTTTGTTGTTGTTGCTGTTAAAAATATACAAGTACAACTAAACAGATGTTGCTGTTGTTGTTGTTTTTTGGGTTAGTGTCGCGTAAAAAAATTAGAAATGTGTCGTGAAACCCGCCACCACCCGACACAGCCACTTAGTAAGGGTGTGTCACGTGAGCACACCACTCTGGCTGCCCGCCTGATGATGCTGGTTGTAATTATCGGCAATGCCGGATTAAGCAAGTGCGGGGGCCCTGTAGCATGATGTTATAGAGGGGCCCTCAATAACAAATTAAACACGTAAATATTAAAACACAATTTTTTTTACGTGCACTGTAAAGTCATTGTAGTTTTTTTTTTTTAATTTTGCCATACAGCCAGATAATACGACAGATCGCTAACCTTAAACACCCAGTCGTTCATAAAAGTTAAAATGGTTTAGCGCGGGGCCCTTGAAAGTGCGGGACCCGTAGCTCTACTCTTTGGTTCTTTCGGTAAAGTCACGGAGTTAGAAATCGCAACACAAGCGGTCGTCTTTTGCCTGATGACAAATCAACGTCGTGATATGCTTTATTTTATTTTCTACCCACGTGACTTTACCGAAAGAACCAAAAGTATGGATTCCTGCAGTCACGAAAGCTTCAAATCAAGATTCATATGTAGCTACTTTTGCTACTGGGATAATCCGGCACTGTTTACCAGCGAAATTTCACGATACTCGAATTTACACCATTGGAACCTCATTTGCCAGTAAAAAAATATGATAATTTTGTTTTACCCTTTTATCTGGCATAGACCACAATACCTGCAGTCATAATGCAAACAAAAAACATAACTCTGATAATGTATAGTACGCCTTTTGGCGTCATCTGGTCCCACACCATGTGAGACTAGGCTCTAAGGAAAGCTGTCTCGGGTGTGGACCAATCAACTTCAAGGACAGTGCATACATGATCAGAGTTATGTTTTTTGTTTGCATTATGACTGCAGGTATTGTGGTCTATGCAAATATGACTCCTTGTAAAAAAAACGTCTCAGTTTTGTTGCCAAATAAAAGGGTAAAAAACCAATTATCATTATGATACTCGAATTGTAAATGTCATGGATTTACTCTCCAACACGCAACCGGTGTGCTGTACTTGTGCAATGACGACTTGACACCCTTCACTCGAGACTGCACTTTAATGAAGACACTTTCACTTGACATCAGGCGGAGACCCCCACTGCAACTGCCTGGAGTCTCCCGTCATTGCCTCTCGTGGCCACCAGTCCTCTCACACCGCATGCACGCTCTGTTGTCATTACACTAGTAACGAATTGGGGCATTCTGTGTATTTTTCTTCTTGGTTCTTTCGGTAAAGTCACGTAGAAGGGAAGTAATAAAATAATAAAAATAAAACATAATAAAACACACCCGAGACAGCTTTCCTTAGACAGCTTTCCTTAGAGCCTAGTCTCACCCATGTGAGACTAGGCTCTAAGGAAAGCTGTCTTGGGTGTGGACCAATCAACTGCAATGACAGTGCACATTATCAGAGTTATGTTTTTTGTTTGCATTATGACTGCAGGTATTGTGGGCTATGCAAACATGACTCCTTGTAAAAAGGTGTCAGTTTTGTTGCCAGATAGAAGGGTAAAAAACCAATTATCATATTTTTACTGGCAAATGAGGTTCCAATGGTGAGCAGATCATAGTTCAGCACCGCGGCCTGACAGATGGGGGGGAGGGGAGGCTGCATGCTCCGCCTGAACCTGCGACACAGAGGTCGCCGGTTAGATTCCATCTCCTGGCGCCGCGGTAGAAAGATAACGCAGCGAGGCTATTAAACTATTCACGCGGGCGTTGTTTTGACTCGATGTAGAGAACTCTCCGTACCCAGCACACGAGGAGGGGTATACGTGGCAGTAGCGCGGCGTTTCTCTAAAACGGTTGCGAGTCAGAACGCTCCATCGTAGCGTTCGCTTGCAGTGTGTATCCGTTAATCAAAAGAAGAATGGAAAGAAATTATGGTGCTCTCTTTCTCTCTCTCTCTGTCTCTGGCTTATAATTATCCCCACCTGTGCATACAATCACACGATGGGACTCACCGTGACTTTGCCACGCTTGGTCCGTGGAAATTTTAGAGCAATTGCCTAATGGGGTAATTAGTTTGTCCTCCTGGCCAGCGAAAGGATGAGTGTTTCGTCTGTTGAAGGTTCACATTGTGCGGCAGTGGTCGAAATTTTGGTCACGCGAATGAGTTGCGAGGCTGCAGTGGGGTGCTGGCACCGCGTTGTTGGCATCGCCTGCAAACTCATTTGGTATGACGCTATTCCATTGTTAGTCTGTGGGTCATATTCTCGTCCAGAGATACTCTGTGAGTCTGTGGGTCCTGTGTTGCTCTGTGAGTCCTATACGAGTCTGTGTTAGTCTATGGGTCCTGTGTTCATCTATGGGTCCTGTGTTAATCTATGAGTCCTATACGAGTCTTTGAGTCTGTGTGTTAGTCTATGAGTCTGTGTTAGTCTGTGAGTCTGTGTTAGACTATGGGTCTGTGTGTTAGTCTATGAGCCTGTGTTAGTCTA